TATGAAAGCATGAATAATTATTTAAAAGAAAAATTTTATCAATACTGTTAAAATAAAATCAATAAATTATTATTCTGCATCACATCAACTTTAATTCATTATTCATTTACTCACCTAATTTTAACTAATCATCACTTCACACCTTTTATCTCTTACTTTTACATCAAATCAATTTTAATTCTTTATTTTATATATTATTTTAATTTAAATAAAGGAAGTTTTTACGATTAAATTTCGTGGCATTCATATATCTATCGAATTCATTAAATGTACTTCCACCTGTCCCAAGCTGGGCCAGCGTAACTTAGAAAATTAAATTATTGAAAAAAAAAAAAAAAAGGGCTTTGTGTGCTTTATTTTTTTTTTGGCATACATTTACTCTGTGGCAGATTCCAAAGTTTTTTTTTTTATTTTATTTTTTTATATGTCAATTTTCTCATCAAATTTTGTGTGTATATGATTATAAATATTAAATTTTATTTCATCTTTATATATATCAGTCCTGTTTATTGCATGTTTCTAGAATCCATCTTATACCTTGTATTTGTGTAAGCCTAATAATATAAATCAGTAATTGCTTTGGAGATTAGGATGTTTTGTGACCTAATTCAACCTCGAATTAATATTTTAAATGCATACTATTTGCATTTTACTAAATAATTGTTTATCTTTTTATTCATTTTTTTCTTTTTTTTTTGTTTTCTAACTACAAAGTCTTTAGAAGTAGAAAAAGATATGTCACATGAATTCCAATTTTCAATTGATTTGGCTTCTTTGGGACACAACGTATGGACAATAATATTGATGTTGAATGTTGATGTTTATTTATTATATATTTTGCTCTCTCTTTTTTTTTTTTCTCCCCATTTTTTCACTGTCGAGTCACTTAGGGGGTAATTGTTTATGGATTCGACTAGTTTTTATTTGGTTTGTTTTTTAACTATAGTTAATTTAAAAAAAAAAAGTGGTTTGGTTAATTGTTAGTGGCACTACAAAAAAACTCTTACATTCCAACGGAAATTTTCGTTGGAATTCTTTATATTTCCATTGGAATAGCTATTCCAACGGATATTCATACGTATAAAAATTCGTGGGAAAAACGACCGTTGGAATAGCTAAAATCCAACGGAAAATCCAATAGAAATAAATTCCTACAACTATTCCAACGGAAAAAATTCGTTGGAATTCCTCAATCATCCAACACTTATTCCAACATAAAAATAAACTTGTTGGAATATTCATTGGAATTTCCAACAGAAATTTTTGCCGTTGGAATTTTTCGTTGGAATTAAAATGTTTTCTTGTAGTGTGGATATATTAAAATAATATTTAAATAAAATAATTAAAGTTGATTTGATATAAAGTATGAGAAAAATGATTGAAAGTGATGGTTAGTTAAAATTATGTTAGTGGATGAATATTGAATTAAAGTTGATGTGATGTGTAAGAATGATTGGTTGATATTATTTAATTATATTGATAATATTGGAAATATTTGAATTGAGTTAAAGTTGAATTAAATTTAAGTTTTGATTGATTTTTTACTGTACAAACCATAAACAGTCGCCCCCATAAATTTCTGGCAAGAAGTCAGCAGTCATGCATTTGACAAAATAACAATGAAATATTATTATTATTATTATTATTATTATTATTATTATTATTATTATTATTATTATTATTATTATTAATGTTTAGTCTACATATTCGTAATATTTAAGAAAAAAAATGAAAAAAAAAACTAATAGTACTTAAGAAACGTAATTAATAGAAAAGGTACTCGATCACTTGTATAATGCTCGAGGTTGGGTGTAGTGTTAATTATTGAAAGATAAGTGTGTATACTTATTATTTGTAGAAGCTTCCAATAAGATAACTCCAACATAGAATCTTTTCCTACTTTTATGTAGTTTGTTATATGCTGATAGTTTTCCTATTAACTCTCCATGTATATCTCTATCAGTTGTAACTCTCTCAAGCTATATATTGTATTGGTACACTTACTGAAAGAATCAATAACAATTACATTTTCAAACCTATTTTCTATATGGTATCAGAGAGCTCTCGCCTAACGGCTCGCTAAATTCTCCCACTCGATCCACCACTCATGGCGTCCACCACCTCTACTGGTCCAGAAGACTCATCTCAATCTTCTGAATCTCTTCCCCTTGTTACATTAAACACAGGAACTCAAATCCCCATCAAACTAGATGGCACCAATTTTCCCGCATGGCGAGTTCAATTCAATGCCTTGTTAATTGGCTATAATCTTCAAGGATATGTAGATGGTACAAATCCATGTCCTCCACAAACAGATGCAGGCTACACTCGTTGGATCCGTCAAGACCAACTTCTAATTCATGCCATTATATCATCTGTCTCTGCCAATGTGGTCAATTTTTTAGGCAATGTTACCACCTCTAAACAAGCTTGGGACATTCTTACTCATATGTATGCCAACAGGTCTCGCTCACGAGTCATGACGCTAAAAGAACGCTTAGCCACCACTGTTAAAGGTACTCGCTCCATTTCTGAGTATCTCCAGACCATCAAATCGATATCAGATGAACTTTCTATTATTCACTCTCATGTGGATGATCTTGATCTTGTTATCCATACCCTCAATGGTCTTGGTCGTGAATACCGTGAGTTGTCTGCAGCGATAAGGGCCCGTGACACTCCAATTTCTTTTGCTGATCTATATGAAAAACTCATTGAATATGAGTCTTATATTGCTAAAGAGGATCGCGCCTCTGACTCTGTTACTATACCCACTGCCAATGCTGCTACCCGCACTCGTGGTGCTCCTTCTAGATCTCGTCATGCTTCCAATCAGCAGCAGCCTTCTTCCTCACGGTCTCAGCCATCACTCCCACGCTCTCAATTTGCTGGTCCTTACCATCATTTGTTTTGCAACCATTGTACAAAATATGGTCATGATGACCGTATATGTTATAAGTTACATGGGTATCCCTCCAAGTCAAAAAATGCTTATATGGCTGTACCTGCTGCACCTACAACACCTTCTCCCTCATGGATCATGGATTCTGGAGCATCTCATCATGTCACCAATGCTCTTGAAAATCTTCATCTCTCAGCACCTTACACTGGTTCCGATAATCTGGTCGTAGGTGATGGTACAGGTTTGCATATTGCTCATATTGGGTCTTCTTCCTTAAACACTTCGACTCATCCTATTAGATTACCTCATGTCCTACATGTTCCAAATGTCCAACAAAATTTAATATCTGTATCTAATCTTTGCCACTCCAATTCTGTTTTTGTTGAATTTCATGCAAATTATTTTCTTGTGAAGGACTTGAAGACCAAAGTGGTGCTGTTGAGAGGCGTACATAGAGGAGGACTCTATCACCTGCCCACATCCACTCAACCTCAAGCACTGTTTCACATTCGTAGTCCTACCCATCATCTTCATCATCAATTAGGACACCCTTCCCACCGTATTATGCAACATCTACATCATCACTACAACTATCCTATTGCATCCCCTGCTTCAATAAAGTGTGTCTCCTGTCATTGTGCCAAGAGTCACAAGCTACCTTTTACCACATCCAGTCTAAAAAGCACAAAGCCTCTTGAACTTGTGTTTACTGATGTATGGGGTCCAGCACCTACTAGGTCTTTAGACAATTTTTTGTACTATGTCATTTTTATTGATCACTTCACTAAATATGTTTGGTTATATCCTATGAAAAATAAATCAGATGTTGCATTCTTGTTTCCTCAGTTTAAGACTCTTGTTGAAAAACTATTTAAGCTTCCTCTCTTAGCCTTATATTCAGATAATGGAGGTGAATACATTAATCATCAACTAAAAACTTATCTCAATTCCAATGGCATTTCTCATTTCACTACCCCTCCACATACACCTGAACATAATGGTCTTGCTGAACGAAGACACAGACATATTGTTGAAACTGGTAAAAGTCTCCTACATTATGCAAATTTACCTCCTACCTTCTGGACACATGCTTTTCTCACTGCTACTTATCTAATAAATCGAATGCCAACTCCCATTCTTGGCATGAAATCTCCCCTCCAACTGTTGTTCAATCAAACCCCTAATTTTAGTCATCTTCACAGTTTTGGGTGTCTCTGCTTCCCTTGGCTACGACCATACACTACCAATAAACTTCAACAATATTCTACTCCATGCATTTTTGTAGGATATTCCACCTCACAATATGCCTATTTGTGTCTTGATCCTATCACAAACAAACTCTACACTTCTCGCCATGTCACCTTTATAGACAATGAATTTCCATACCTGCAGCTCATTAATAAACCTGACCCTCCTACACTCTCATTGCCTCCAGTCGAATATCCACCACACACCCTTGTCCCTACCACTGGCCACCCTTCCTTACCCACCAATAGCCACAACTCCAAGTCTCCACCAATTAACCCGAGTCCCCCCTCTATTCCTCTTCAGCACCTCTCAGCTTCTTCAAATTCTACACAAGGTAATGATTCGCCTCCTCCCTCTTCTCCTTTATTATTGCCTAACACCACTCGCAGGCATCCTATGGTCACTCGTTCAAGAAATAACATCTACAAACCCAAGTGCATTTTCTCAGCTTCTAAGCATTCTATTCCAGAAAACCTTGAACCATCATGTGTTACTGTTGCCATGCGATACACTAACTGGCGCACAGCCATGTCCGAAGAATTTGATGCATTGGTTCGCAATGGAACATGGGTTCTTGTTCCACCTGATCCTTCACAAAATGTAGTTGGTTGCAAATGGGTGTTTCGGATCAAACGTAACCCAAATGGTTCTATCTCTCGCTACAAGGCTCGATTGGTGGCAAAGGGCTTTCATCAATGTCATGGTCTTGATTTTAAAGAGACTTTTGCACCTGTTGTCAAGCCACAAACTATCAAAATCATTCTCAGCATTGCACTTTCTAAGTCCTGGTCTCTCCATCAACTGGATGTTAATAACGCATTTCTTCAAGGCACATTATCAGAGACTGTATATATGGCCCAACCACCTGGTTATGTTGATACACAATTTCCAAATTATGTTTGCAAATTAAATAAGGCCATCTATGGTCTGCGCCAAGCACCAAGGGCATGGCATGATGAACTGAAACGGTTTGTGATATCCCAAGGATTCATTGTCACGCGTAGTGATTCCTCTCTTTTTGTCTACAAGCAAGGTAATACTGTTGCATATTTTCTAGCCTATGTTGATGATTTGCTACTTACTGGAAATTGTAACAGCTTCCTCAACTCCTTCATTACTTCACTCTCCACCAAATTCTCTCTCAAGAATCTCGGTTATCCTCACTATTTCCTTGGCATAGAAATTGTTCCCACCGCTTCTGGTTTATTTCTCTCTCAGCATAAGTATGCTCGTGATCTCCTTGAAAAATTTGACATGGCTGGTGCAAAACCAGTGACTACTCCCTTAGCATCAACAGCAGTGTTACAGTTGCATGATGGTACGGCAAATACAGATGCCTCCCGTTTTCGTAGCATTATTGGTGCTCTCCAGTACCTCAATCTCACACGTCCTGACTTATCATTTGCAATCAACAAACTATCGCAGTTTATGCATAAACCCACTGAACTTCATCTTCAACATGTCAAACGTTTGCTCCGCTATCTCAAACACACCATAAATCATGGTATCACACTTCGGCGCAACAACTCTTTACACCTCCAGGCCTTTAGCGATGCAGACTGGGCTGGTAATGTCGATGATCGTACTTCTACTTCTGCTAATATTATTTTCCTGGGGTGCAATCCTGTGTCATGGTACTCCAAAAAGCAAAAAACAGTGGCTCGCTCGTCTACTGAAGCTGAATACCGAGCAGTTGCCACCACAACTGCAGATCTTATGTGGATTGTCAATCTACTTTCTGAACTACATATTTCACTTTCCTCTCCTCCGAAGATATTGTGTGACAATGTTGGAGCCACTTACCTTTGTGCAAATCCGGTATTTCACTCTCGCATGAAGCATATCTCCCTTGATTATCATTTTGTTCGTGGACAGGTTCAACAAGGGTTGTTTCACGTAAATCATGTATCCACCAAGGATCAGGTTGCTGATGTTCTCACTAAGCCACTCTCTACAGTCAAGTTTCAAGATTTTAGGACCAAGATGGGTGTCCATGACGGAAACCTCATCTTGCGGGGGCGTGTAGAAGCTTCCAATAAGATAACTCCAACATAGAATCTTTTCCTACTTTTATGTAGTTTGTTATATGCTGATAGTTTTCCTATTAACTCTCCATGTATATCTCTATCAGTTGTAACTCTCTCAAGCTATATATTGTATTGGTACACTTAGTGAAAGAATCAATAACAATTACATTTTCAAACCTATTTTCTATATTATTTACGTATTATAGCTTTCATAAATTTTAAAGTACGGCTTTACTCTGAAGTGAGAAAGAAGAAGCTACTTTTCTTTGTTTATAAATAAATAAATAAGAAATGAAAAAGGTCGCAGAATTAGAAGCATCGCATCATTTACTTTTTCTTTTTTTCTTTTCTTTTTTTTTTTGGTACAGGGACCTTCCGATTTCTGAATCCACATGAGAACCGACTAATCCAGAATCAAGCCGGCATCATTTACTTTGAATAAATCAAGTTTCAATGATGCATGATTAGCACGTGAGCAAGTTGTGTATCTTTATGATAATAATCATTTTAATGCATTATTTACTACGTAGCTACATTTATATATATCACTACAAAAGAATTGTTATATTTTAAAGAAAAATCTTATATTAATATATTTCAGTGAAGATTTCAACGGATATAATAATAGTATAGATTCCGATGGAATCATTCCAACGGAAACATTGCGTTGGAATGAGTTTACCATTGGAATTTTAGAGAAAATTTGATGATTCCAACGGCTACATTTCTAACAATTTTTTACCGTAAGAATCTCGTTGGAATATCCAATTTCCGTTGAATTTTTTTTCCCACATATGTTGGAAAATCCACCGTTGGAATCGTCAAATTCCAACGAAAATTCCAATGGAAATATTTTTGTTGGAATTTCCGTTGGGATTTCGTTACAATATATTTGTATTGGATTTTTCTGTTGGAATTTCATCATTTTGTTGTTGTGTATACATAAGATATTATCTGCATTATTATACATTTATATATATATATAAGGTAATATCAACATTTAAAAAATCAAACTGCCGAATCAATTTTAATTGAATTATAAGTCATGAAATTTACGTATATGTCAATTATATAATATGTATTTAAGAAAATTATTAAAATAGATGAAAATGAATAAATAAAAAATAAATATACAAAATTTAAGAAGTATTTAGAAATATTAATATATATATATGTATATACTTGTAAAGATAAAATTTTATTTAGTTTTGAGTTTAACACATATTTAGATTTAGATACTTCAACCATTACTTGAAAGATGTACAATACAACAGCGCAAGTCCTCAAATACCTATCTTCATAGACATGGCCAAAAGTCGCTCGGACACCGACCCAACCCGTTGAAACCCGTTGACCACGGATCTAAGCTTGGACCGAATTTTTCGACGGGCCATTTTAGCTTTCATGGTCATTCTTTCATGACCCTAGCCCAGCGAGTCGAGCCCAGTTCGAGTTGGTGATCATTTTTTTTAATGTAATTTCTATATTTTATTCTTTGGAAAATGGCGAGCCAGCTCAGACTCGGCTCGAACCAGGCTATTGACCCAGCACGAGCATATGTCCGGACCGGGTCCGGGTCCGGGTCCTTTTTTTTAGCCCGGAGGCCCGGCAAGCCGGGCCGTGACTCGGCCCGTGGTGCGGAGAGGTTGACGGTTTAGGCGTTTACTGTGCTACCGACACTAATGCACCAACTCACCCATACAAAATTAATTTTAAAAAATATATTGCCTTGCTTATTTTATGTAATATTATTATTATACAATATACTTCAATTTTATAAACTGCGGCAATCATTTATCAACGTAAATAATTAAATTTGTGTATGCCACTGGACGTCTCGTAGTACTTTTCTTAATATAATAATATATACTTATAATAAAAAACATTATTATTATTTATATTATTTGTTATTAACATAACATTTCATCTTAAAATAATATATATTTATATTATATTAAAAGTTATAACTGTCCAACCATTTAGATGTCATATTTATTAAAATTTTATTATCGTCATCTAACGTTTTGCTTTTTCAAATACGAATAAATTATTAGCAGCCAAAGAAATTTCAAAATTGACGAGGACTGAATGTGACTGAAAGGCCCAATTTCACCCTCATATACAGTTACACATGTATTAAGTAGTCCCAAATTTCCTTTAATTATTGATGAGATTGTCACTCTTTGTTTAAATAAATCAGTGAAGAAGTTTCAACTTTTAATTATAGTTTTTTCTAATCAGAAATTGAAAAAATCATTTAACAAATAATATTAGACCATCTTTAACTCCAATCCTACTCGTAAAGTGTCTTTTGATGTCTTCAACCCCTGAAGATATTCAATAACATTGCCGGAACCCACTGATTCTCGACCCGGCGACTTTTAGAACCAAAACGGGTTTTAATTCATGAAGTGAAATTATTCATATCATCATCTTTTAGGAGCTATTGCATCTTTTTTGGAAAGTTCACAAGTCATAACACATCTTGTGATGGCCCAAAATCCAATCCAGCAAATTTCATGCAAAACATCCATCGGGCTTTGGCCCAAAATTGTTCGCCAAAGATGGCCCAAAATAATGTTAACTCCAGGCCTTAATTGTGCTGTACCTTTGCCAGCCCAAACGGCCACAGAAACAAAACAGTTCTGTATCTCAGAGCGTTGGAATTCGTTTTCAAATCCTTAATTCCCACCTTTTTTCCCACGACTAAAACCCTAATTAATAGTCATATAAGAAACCCTATCACATCATGTTCAAGCCAATCACCCAATGTAGGGGGGGGGGGCGTTTCTAACACATGGAGACCAATCGAAGCCATAGACTCTAAGCTCGTCAAATGATCAGCGGCGAAGTTCGCCTCTCGATGCACATGACGGAGATGAATTGTCCACTCTTTGTGGATCAAACACCTAATGGCCTTGACTTTGATACACTGTGATGATGTTTTGTCACATTTCATTTTCTGTTTGGCACTTGATTGATTGATGTTTATTTATTTTGGCTGGATAACGTAGGAATTTTGGTAAGGTCGATTCATCTACGCTTCACTTGGCTTTACTTGAAACTGTAGTTCGTTGTTGGATATTTATTATGAACTGTGTTTCATCTTTTATATGTTTTTGGGCTTGTGTTCGTCTCAAAGCAGAAACCTTTTCGTGAGAGGATTGCATTTCAGTAAGAACTTTGGTGCTGAAGACATCATCTTTAAGGCTGTCTGCGTCAATATTAGGCAGAAAAAATGGACCTTCTTGGACCAGCTGTCTTCAGAACTCTCAAATTCCTTGCTTTCTCGCGTTATCCGAGAGTTTCGGAGCTCGCCACAGCTTCTTTTAGAGTTCTACCAAAGAATTGGTGGACAGAAATCTGTTTCTTGTTCACTAGAATCTTGCTGTATTATGATTCATGTGATGGTGGGCAGTAAAAACTATGAAGATGCATTGTGCTTGATGAAACAATTGATGATATCCAAAGGCCACGCGCCTCTGGATATTTCAGAAGCTCTGATCAATAGCCATCATGAAGACGAATAGCTCTGTTTTTGATACATTGGTTAGAGCTTGTTCCGAGATTGGGTCGACTAATGATGCGTATGAGGTGATAAAGAGATTGGGAGTGGAGAAGGGCTATTGGGTCTCCATTCATGCTTGGAACAATTTCTTGAGCCACCTGTTGAAGAGTGGTGATGTTGGTTGTTTTACGGGTGTTACGAGAATGTGAATACATTTAATTTGCTAATTCTTGCTCTATGTAAAGAATGTAGATTTTCGGAAGCTTTTTCTGCGTTTTACAAGATGCTGAAGAGGAGGATTGTACCCAATGCGGTCGGGTTCAATGTGCTTGTCAATGGGGCTTGTAGAGTGAATGACCTCGATTTCTCGCAGTAAAACTTGTTCAGAACATAGGGACTATGTCATTGGGGTATGTGACCCCGAATATAGTCACTTACAATTCTCTTGTTAACGGATAATGCAAGAAAGGTAATCCCGAAATAGCCGAATTAACTCTCGGTAAAATGGTCGAGATGGGTGTGAGCCCTAATGTAAGGACTTACGCGACTTCAGTTGATGGGTACTCGAAAAAGGGTTGTATCGAGCATGCCTTCAGGTTGTGTGAAAAAATGATCGAGCAAGGTTTTACTCCCAACTCGACAGTTTACAATTCGCTCATACACCAACTGTATGTGGAGGGAAATGTGAGTGAAGCCTCGTTTTTAGTTTCGAACATGATGGAGAATCACGTGCAGCCCGATGAAGTCACGCATTCTGTTATCGTGAAAGGGTTGTGCAGAAATGGAGAAATAGACGGGGCTTTGAGGATTCACAAGTGGATTGCGGAAGAGAATTCCATAAAAGATGCTTTCTGTCACAATATTATCATGAGCTATCTTTTGAGGACTAAAGATATACGTGGGGCCAAACAGGTCCTATGCAGCATGTTCGTACGAGGGCTCGTTCCAGATATGGTCACGTACGGTACTTTGATCAACGGTTATCGGAAAGCGTGCGGAATTGAAAGTGCGGTTGAGATATATAATGACATGATTAGGGTCGATAAAAATCCGAACTTGGTGATTCTAAACTCGATTTTGGATGGCTTTTGCAAGGAAAAATCGGTGGATTTTTCCGTATTGTTGGCGGAGGAGATGAAAAGGTTAAATATATACGACGTTGTGACATTTAACACTTTGTTGAGCAGCATTAGTCCTCTTCCAAGTTCAAAATTTTGTTGTGATTATTTTGCACAATACAGAAATATGCTCGTGAGTAATTTACAAAACACTTCAATTTGATCTATGTTTTTCATTTTTTAAAACTAGAAAGACCAAGAACGAAAATTTCATGCCCAGATCTTCATTTCTAACTTCTCACAAATTGGGTTGGGCCCAATTTAAGGACTCAAGTCAACATGCTTGGGTCATGACATACAAGCCCGGCCCACCATAACCATCGTAGCAAGTGCACTCAAGCTTCAAGATAAAATGAATTACATTCAATAGCCACAAGATTTATGTACAGTAGCTGGAAACCGCACTACTAAAACGAGTCCATATGACCAAAAATTTGAACCTCCATCAAAAGGTTGAAAAAGATCAAAACACACACACACACACACACACACACACACACACACACACACACACACACAAGCAGTGCAAAATCAGTTTTTTCTCTCAACCAAACATTCAAAAAAACATAAAAAAAAAACCTTATCTCAAAAATCTCATCCCTCCCTCCACCTCTCATTACATTCCCCACAACCACACAGAAAACACAAACACAGCAGATAAGCCTCTTTCTCTCCCAAAAATCTACACACACACACACACCACTCCTCTTTCCCTCTCCCAAAAACAAGATTCACCAAGGAAAAAAAAAGGAACATAACAAGAGAAAAAAAAAAAAAAAGATCATGCCTTGCTCAAACCTCACAATGTGGGTCTCCTCCAAACCTTCACAAACTTCCTTCCTCTGCCCTTTACAACTCCCCAATCCAATTCCAAACACCACTCCCTCAAGATCACATGCCCTCACTCAAATCCAATGCGGCCTTCGTGAGCTCCGCGTTCGCATCGACTCAGTCAAGAACACTCAGAAGATCACCGAGGCCATGAAGATGGTGGCCGCCGCCAAAGTCCGGCGAGCCCAAGAAGCCGTCCTCAACGCCCGACCCTTCTCCGAGACCCTCGTCGAAGTCCTCTACAACATCAACGAACAGCTCCAAACCGAAGACATCGATATCCCCCTCACCAAAGTCCGGCCCGTCAAAAAAGTCGCTTTAGTAGTGGTCACGGGCGATCGTGGCCTTTGCGGGGGTTTCAACAACGCCGTCTTAAGAAAAGCCGAGGCCCGAATGAGGGAGTTAAAGGAACTCGGGCTCGATTACACGGTCATAAGCGTGGGAAAGAAAGGGAACACTTACTTTATCCGCCGGCCATACATTCCGGTCGACAAATTCCTCGAAGGGAGTTCACTCCCGACCGCGAAAGAAGCACAGGCGATCGCGGACGATGTTTTCTCTCTCTTCGTGAGCGAGGAAGTCGATAAAGTCGAGCTTCTTTACACGAAGTTCGTCTCGCTCGTGAAGTCGGACCCTGTCATACACACTCTGTTGCCACTTTCGCCGAAGGGAGAGATTTGTGATGTGAACGGAGTTTGCGTGGATGCGGCTGAGGACGAGTTTTTCCGGCTTACGACGAAAGAGGGAAAGCTGACGGTGGAGAGGGATGTGGTGAGGACTAAAACGTCAGATTTCTCCCCAATCTTGCAGTTCGAGCAAGATCCAGTACAAATTCTTGATGCTTTGCTGCCGCTATATCTCAACAGTCAGATTCTGAGGTCTTTGCAAGAGTCGTTGGCGAGTGAGCTGGCAGCGAGGATGAGTGCGATGAGTAATGCCACAGATAATGCAATAGAGCTGAAGAAGAATCTGTCGATAGCGTACAACAGGGAGCGCCAGGCAAAGATAACGGGGGAGATTCTGGAGATTGTGGCCGGGGCAGATGCTATGGGCTGAGGAAGAAGAGCGAATTGTGTGTCAGTTGTGGGGAGATTGATATCTTTGGTAAAACTAAAACTATTTCGATTGTGATTGTTTGTTGAACATGTATAAGTTTCATGAAAGATGAGGACAGCTTTTTTGTTTGTAACAAGAGCATTCCACTTCCCTTTTATATATGTATGATATGTGAATTTTATATATATCAAGGAAAAGTGTCCTGCCTAGCGAATTTTTCAGGTACAGGCAATGAACAAACATTTTATTGAAGTTGCTTTCTGCAAGGTATGCAATGAATATATCGATAAGCACTCGTAACACACCGCAAATACAAATTTATCATTGTGTAATCAGCTGTAATGTAAAGCTATTGCCATGTGGAGTGTACTTTCGATTGAGATTTACGTGACTGACTAGCCATCACTCATATCTTGTTTGGTTATAAATATTTCGGGCCAACTGATTTTTGCTGAGCACAGGCAAAGTAACTGCGAGTAAACACAATAAAATTACTAAGACCAATGTTCTAGATGATAACTCCAGTTGATGTAAGCATATAGCTGCAAATATGCAAGACTTTTGATATGACCTTAAGTGCTACTTACATGTTTTCACCATGTGATGATGCAGCTGTATTGGTAGTTTTGAACTGCAATTGTCACCCAAGAACAAACAGGATTCATCAAGTATAGTCTTCTTGGTGTAGAATGATGGCACTCAATGCCATTACCAAACTTCGAACATAGATACTTGGTCGACTATAATCATTGGGGAAAAAAATAAAAAATCTTATATTTCCTCACTATGGTTATCTGCTTCATAACTGCGCACGTTAAACAATTTTTTGTTTCTGGCATATTCAAATACAAGTGAGCTGACCAAAAGGGACACAACTATTGGACGCTAAAACCGTAAGTTTTCAATATGTGAAGAATATGCCTTAATAACTGCCCCAGGCTTCATCCTGAAATCCTCGCATCATCAATTAGATCAACTATAGTGCATGAACCATCCAAGGTCCTACTGAGTTTATTCACTCAAGTACCCATCCCATTGGTCCAATAGCTGAAACTATCCATTTTGTCAACCTTCAAGAAGACATGAGAAGAAGTTTGTGAACACAGTGATATACATCCATTGCTACCGACCACTTTTCTGGTTGGATCAAAAACTTTCACATGCAGTTGACATGGCTATTACAAACCTTAAATTTAACAAGTAATTACCCAATAGAACGGCAGCATCATATCTAATAGAAGTGATGTAAATTTTGTAAACGTTAACTACCTTTCTCAAAGATTGATGTCAAGGCACTGATTTATTACACATTAAGATTCTATAGGATCAACGGTTAGTCAACAAAATCTACTCCTATATGGTAATGAAAGCATAATCCACACAACATATCACCGAAAAATGTATATGTTAACTGAAATAAGGAAAAAGATGCAAGACCGAAACATAATCTTCTCCCATTAAAGATAATGTTGGGGTCAACTCTTAAGAGACTTCCACGTTTTTTTTTTTTTTTTTTTGTTGGAATAGAATTGTTGTTTCCACGTGCGTCCACAATTTGAGTTCTCTAGCCCTAGCACCTTTATAATCAATCACCAAAACCTGAGTGCAGTAGTTTGGGAACTAGTCTTGTAGGTACCAAATATGTCCTGCCTCCTCATCAACACTCACAGAGCAGCAAATGAAGAGGCTGCACCCAAAAATTTTGCATGCTAATCAAACTAACCAAAAACATTTGTAACTCTAAACTTGAAACTTACATGATGATAAAGAAAATATATAGGCTTCTCTATGCCTCCGAAGATTAAGATTTTCCATTCCTTACTCTACTTACCCAGTATATTGTCACCAGCTTTTCTGTGCAGCAAGTAGAAGCTGAAAAGGGTATTATAAAAACCAAATTTGGGAACTTTCCTTCCTACGTGGAGGGCATAGATTCCTTTATGTCGACTCTCTAGAAGGATAAAAAGATGCAGGTTAAATATAGTATCACTTCATGGTGACCCATATCTGCATGACTTCACCATCAAAAAGAACAATGGATTGAATGACAGAATTCACTTAACAATTGGTAGGGGTAAAGATATTTTTTATTCCCTTGAGAACAGGGAGAGAACACAGCTAAAGCCGATAATCATATAAACAAGCTTGTGAAAAAATAATAAACCTTTCAGTTTGTGCAAGCCCCCTCCTTCAACAGTTCAACTATCCTGTCAGATTCAGCCTCACTTTATTCCTACAAAATCTCTCGGTCATCATCATAAATTGACTCCGCATCACCTTATTCCTACAAAATCTCGAGCAACCATCATAAATCAAACATGATAAAGAGCTTTAGGAATCAAGAGAAAGTTGAAATTAGTAAACTGCATAAATGCTCCCATCAGAAATTCTACCTTATAAACAAACCTATCATGCATATACAGTCGATGACACACCAATGCAACTGGAATGACTAACCAATGTGCAAATTTAATGATAAGAACAAAATAACATCAACTTGAATATCAGAAAATTATGAGGCGCATAATTCAGAGACCTTAGATACACGAAATAATAATCAAATCCAAGCCTCGTCAATCGCAATGTATATGAATGTTGCTTAGGTTAGTGTTGTAAAGTACCAAAAATAAATCAAGAGACCAATGCAGAAATCTTTTCAGAACACATGTAAATCATTTCACTTTATTAACATCTTTTGTATATCAATCACAGGAAAGTGCGGCTAACAAATTTGGACACTTAACAGCGGCCAAAAAAGAAAGAAATAAAAGCCCTAAAATACATATTTTTTCTGTCGTTTGATCTAAGCAATCAACGGAAGATCTACACAACAAAAGAAGATCAAGTCTGAGTCTCGGAGAAAAAGGGCGTCAAGGCCACAAGCTTCTTGCGCTGGATGCACCTAGGATAACTCTTGACCCTGACGTTGAAACACGGGACCCCATCCATGGCCAACCCATCCGAATGCGGCTGCGGAAAAGCTGAATTCGAACTCAATTCAAGCTGAAGCAGGGCAAGCAGAGTCTGGGCTCCGATCTCCTTAGATCTGGCGGTCATCTTCGAGTACCGGAGTTGGGCGAGGGCTCCCGGCTTAAGGTAAGTGAAGAAAGACGGCGCAGATGGCGTCAGCGATCGGAAAGCGCCGCTTCCGGCTGCGGTCTTCATGGTGAGGAGAGAGGATGGGGGGTGGGTGGTTTTAGAGAGAGAAACGGACGGTCGAAACCCTAGAGAGAGACAGAAGGGAGGAGAGTGGTGGAGGATTGACTGTGAATTTGGATGAGGAGAATTGGAGGAAGATAGGGTATTAAAATGGTGGATTGAGACGCGGGAAAATGGAAGTGGCGGCCATGAGCGATGGCGCGGTGGTTTTTTCAAGTTTCAATATTTCCTTTGGGCTGTGGCCTCTGGGCTTTTCCAATGCCATGGGCTGACATTGCTTTTGCTTTTCTATTTTACTAAATTTTTCAATAGTGTGAAAAAGGCAAAATTGCAATTTTAGTCTTGTCGGCGTGATCTAATGGTGTTTTTAGTCATAAGAATTGAATATTTTTTTATTAGGTCCTATGATTTTTAAATTCAACGCAATTTCAGTCTTTTGAGAGTAAAAATGTAACAAAATTTAAAATTACATGACTTAAATTGTAAATAAAAAATCTTTTGCAATTTCAGTCTCAAAGGACTGAAATTGCAGCAAAATATTAAATTACAGGATCAAAAGACAAAAAAATTAAAATTTTGAGACTAAAAATACTACACTATTAAATCAGCGGGACTAAAAGTGCGATTTTGCATGTGAAAAACACCAAACTATAAACTACTTTGTATTGCATGTTGTATTTCATGGTGAACTATCAAATTAGAGAATTCCACTCAATGTGAGTATTATGTGCACCCCTATGTACAATACTACGTATCTATAGGATTTCTCATCATATTATAGATGAAGATACACTAGTATCATAATTACTCGAGCATAGCCTGCTGGTTGCACGACCGACAACGCAAGCTCGAATGCTCTACACGGGGATCGAATACCAGAGGGATGGAACCTCTGGCAAGCTTTTTTCTCATTTAGAAGAAATGGGACAGATTGATAATCACTTATGTGACGTTAGACCTTTTGGGGCGTTATGGTATGAAGGAGGCGGTATGACTGACAGCAAGGTACATCCCGAGGTAGCCGAGGGACCAGCTACAATGGTCCAGGTACACGTGACCAAAACCTTGTTCGTGCTTAGCCCGACGGGTTTTCGAGTCCGAGAAAGGTATACCTCAAGAGATGATTTGTACACTTGAAGACCTCTAAGTTGGCTCTATGTCGTCTCAGTTGACCTCACCCTTAGGTCATCCCTGAGTCCTCTAGGAGAACGGCCAGGTTTCTCGGTGAGAGCCAGCTCGCGGTTTATTAGTTCTACATAGGTGAGCTATTCGAGCACTGGTCAATGAACTGGTCGCGCGAGCTATTCGAGTGCGAGCTAGACATATCCAAAAATCGCAGCTTAAAAAATAAAAGGTCCCAAAATGTGTCTTTTGACACTTAAACCTCTTGGAGGTGTTTTTCTACATCTATTAATATCCACGTACATGAAATCATTCATAACTTGAAAAGTTAAGAGCTCTTATACATTACTTTTTCAAAGTTCATAAAGCATATTGTGTTCTTTGTTTTTTTTTTCCTTGAGCTTTGAGAGTTCCAAACAATAGTATTGATCGTTGAATGTTTGTATATACAAGTTGAAAGGCGTTTGACGTTAACCGTGAGTATTTTATGAGAATTTCGTTTAAGGAGAACATAACTATTACGTGTCTCGACTTTGATTTTGTTTTGTTTTCTTCATTCTCTTTAAGTCATATTTTTAATATGTACAAACCGCACAAACTACACCACGTTTATAAACCTGAGTTTATGAGATATCCAGGTAACCGGAGTTACGTTATTTGGTGGATCACCATCAATATCATTAATCTATTATAAAATACGAAATAAAACATAATTTAAAAAAAAAAAAAAAAATTGATCCTACATAACTTTGTCGCTCACTTTTATTTTTTGTTTCACAATTTTTGGTGGGCTTTGGACATTTCCATTCAAGCCACTTACCGTGCTCCCTCCCCCACCCTTGGATCATAATGCAAGGGAGCACCGTAGGTGTTGTCACCGTAGGCGCCTCTCACCATAATTTTACCGGTTTTGTTATGGAGCCATCGGATGGCTCCGCTTATGAAGTCATCCACTGTTATTTATAAATGATGTATTGACACGTGATCTGCAATAAATGCACATTAGATATGTGTCAGCATATCGATGACTCTATAAGGGAGATGGCTCTATATAATTTCTGCTAACTCTACAGCCCAATTTACATTTTTGGTTGGAGCCCAGATAAAATTTCCAACCAAACAAAACAAATATAAATTCAAAAAAAGAGAAAAAAAAAAAAAGGCCCATCTATATTTTGGAAGCATTTAACGACATGCACATTGTATGCCTGGTTTTATATATTCTCTCACTCTGAAAACACTACTCACCACCAATAATATTTATTTATTAACTCTCCTCACCAGCAGCATTTAATTCCTCTCTCTATATATACCTCCCTTTCCATGGCTTTAGCTTCACACCAAAAATCACTCAAAAGAAAATCTCTCTCTCTCTCTCTCCCAAATGGCTAACTTTGACGATAGCCTCTTAGCCGGGTTGAACTTATCCGACGATGACGAGGACGACATTCTTCAATTTATGCCAGACAGCCCATCCGACTT